CTGCGATGCCACGTGCATCACTGAGCCTTGGCCGCCCATGACCCTGTCGCTGGTTCACCACTGTTCCTTCCTTGGACCACTTTTGATAGATACTGACCACTGCAGAGTAGAAACACCCCACAAGAGCTGCAGTTTTGGAGATGCTCTGACCCAGTCATTTAGAGAAATTAGATTAAGTGTAACTTTTTTCTTTTACATTTTATTTACACATTTATATTTATTTTTATTTATGTTTTTGATAATTCTGAATTAACTAACATAAATATTACTTAAAGTATAAATATTCCATGTAGACTCTTTTTGAAACAAGACAAGTCAAGAAAAGTATAATTAGAGAATGCTTGATCTGGATGCTCAGTGGTTAGGGAGGTTTGGCCCATTATATGGCAAAAACGTTTGCATTGTTTGTGTAGGAAGGAAAGGAAATATGAATTGAGAGTGTAAGAGTGGGCAGGGTGAAGATGTCTCAGGCTGCACACGCACACTCTTGAGACAAAAGCTGAGGAGAGGATGTGCCCTCTCACCTCTTTTTCCCTTCCTTTGTCCTTTGTTTTTTACTCTCTCTCTCTTTCTCTTGTACTTACACTCTCCACATCCTCCTATTTCAGCTTTCCTATCCTTGACCCTATCTGTTAAAGATCCTCTTATCTCTGTCACTCTACATCTGGCTGACTAGGTAAAAACACAAAGACATCTTCTTTTCCCTCAAACCGTGTTTATTATTTCACGGATATGGACATCCATGCCAGATGGAAATTTTTATATGATTGTTCCATTGGGCCGATGGTGAAATTGTATGAGTTTTCAACAAACATCATTTCAAGACGTGTGGGAAGAGATGACAGATTTTCAAGGAGAGGTTTTACGGCTGGTGCCGTAATTTTAGCCCCGCTATCACAAGAGGAATTCCGGCAGTGACCTAAGGGTATAATGGAGCACCTATAGCGGTATGAGTCCCATGGTGAGCTTCCTCAACAGGGCTGCATGCCCATGAGACCGGCTTCTGTATCGCCAGCTCACACTCTCACATTCTTCCACATTCAATGCAGCGGCACTCAAGGAGTGAGTCAGTGCGTGTGGAGGCCTGCCAGCTCTCATCACAATGGGTGGAAATGGGAATTTAATACAAACTTTCTCACATAGCCACAATACATCTAATAACACTCACAGTTGTCCCCTCCCTAGTCAATAACAATTATAGTTGTATTTAAGGTTATCATAATCATGCTTATGTATGAGATTCCCACGATTTATCTTGCTTAAACAATGTAAAAGTCTTCAATGCCACTTTTGGTCAATTTAATGCATCCTTGCTGAACCCTTACTGAACTGACCCCAAACTTTTGAATGCATAAACGCATAAATAACTTTTTCTTTTTAAAACAACAAAATTTTATTTATTTATTTATTTGTTTGTTTGTATGTTTTTATCTTTAAACTTAAATAGTAAATAGTCCTTAATTTCTTAAAGTACAAATAGTTTGTACTTGTTTTATGATATTTTATTTATTATTTAATTATTCTTATGTTTGAGATTCCCACAATTTAACTCACTTGATGTAAAAGTCTTTACTGTCATTTTGGTCAATTTAATGCATCCTTGCTGAAGTTTTAATTTGTATTTACTTTTTTTTTTTTTCACTGATCCTAAACTAGGAATGGTAGTATATATTCCATATTTGCATAAAATCTATGTTTATAACTGGTATGTATGTATGCATTTTATTTATTTATTCATTCATTCATCTTAATTCACGTAAATAGTAGGCCTACTTATTATTATTTTTAATTTACAAATACAATAACTCCAGACTTTTATGAAGTTATTTATGACTAGAAGTGCAGGGACAGGAACATATCATTACTATTGCTCTTACTTGAGGGTCTTTTGACTTGGGATAGAAACCACCTAGAAACTATCAAGAGCAAACTAGCAATGCCCTAGTGCTGTGTTGGAGAGTTATGCACAGGAAAACATCACTTTCACCTACACTGAAAAAAAAAGTCATAGTTTATAATTTAAAGATAATGAATCCTTATTGTATTCTGTTACTAGGTAACTAGGCAATAAAGTTTCAGCAACACTGTGGTAAACACTTGAGCATTAAAAAAATAACATAATAAACACTGAAGCCTTTTGATTTCCTTTACATGTGTACTGGCCACCAGTGTGTGCTTTGTCTCTTGAACTCATGAAGGAAAACGCCTCTGCCGACGAGAGAAAATAATTGGCATTCATCATCACTTTCATAATAAATAGGAGACAAAGCAATTACTGTGGGACTACAAAAGGTGACTGGGACAATAGGCGGCAGTCTGGGGGGAGTGCGGTGGTTAAATCTAGTCTCTCTAAGTACCTTGTTCTTGTGAGTGTTTTCCCCACCCTGGCTCCATGCATCCACAGAATATGTTGACACAGTGTCTACTACTTTCCCGTGCAGCTTCCTCATCCAAACACTTTATCATCCAATGCTTTATCAGCCAGTTTTTTGTATATACACAAATACACATACACCCAATACAAAAACACACGTATCCAAGACACATTAGGATATAAAGAAAGAACAAAAGCAACAATGCAAATCATATTTTTTCATATTGTTCTTTTATTCATAGAATATGACTATTGATACTATAACATTTAGCCAAAAAAGATCTGTGCACGCAACTGGCATACTGTATAAAAATGTATTTAGCTGGGGTCTATATTGAATTTATACATTTGGAGCAATGGTTATCTTGCAGCTGGTTTATTGCTTATTTCTACAAAAACATGTGGGGTTGGTATGTTTAATAATTTTGAAAAGTTTATAGTCTCTTATGCTGAAAAAGCTGCATTTATTTGAAAACAAACAAACAAACAGTATATTGTGAAATATAATTACAATTTTAAAATAACTGCTTTTTATTTTAATGTATAAATTATAATTTATTCCTGTGATGGCAAAGCTGCCATTACTCCAGCCTTCAGTGTCACATGATCCTTCAGATATCATTCTAATATGCTGATTTTGTGCCCTAGAAATATCATTATTATTATTATTAAGCTATGCTACTTAATATTTTTGTGATACATATTTTTCAGGATTCTTGTTGAACAATGCATATTGAAAGATAAATATTTTGTAAACTTATAAATGTCTTTAATGTTACTTTTGATCAATTTAATGCATCCCAGCTAAATAAAAGCAATGATTTCTTTAAAAAAAATACATTTTTAAACGATAATGTATACTAAATAATAAAAATGATCAATTAAATAATAATAACTACTATGATGCATCAAAGACTCTTAGTCTTTGGATGCGTCATAACGTTTTTCTTTGCAGTAACTGTAAATATTTAAAATGTGATGATAAATGTAATGTGTTTGCATTTGTGTTTCACTTATGTGACCAAATGGGCAGGATGTGGGTGTGACCTGTGAAGATGACCTGCTATTTGTGTCTGAACAGTGTAGAGTTCATAAATATATGTACCAACAATGCACACAAAAGCAAGAAGACCTTCGCCTCAGACAGCACTTCTAAAAACAGCAACACGTTAGATGTTTCTAGTCTAAATCAGCACTAACAAATCTCCAACTAAACTCTGTTTTAATATCTGTGTGCAAAAAAGAAATGACTTTTTATCTGTCTTTTGCTCTTGGAGTGGAAAACAGGAAAGTCAGAACAATGTCAGTCTGAGTCAGCTTTGATTGTGTGATGTTATCAAGAAACAGACAGAAAACATACGCATTCATTTCAAAAACCATCCCTCTACAAATCAGTGAAATGTGTGAAGACGGTGTAAATGGGTCTGTAGACATGCGGCGGTGGGCTTTTCCTCTGCTTTTCCTCTTTTCCTCTCTAAACTAGAGATGACTGAGCATTTAGACAAAACATAAAGTCAGGGATTGTTTCTCGTTTCCTGGCTATGACTGATGTAAGTATTTACAAGATGCCTGCAGCACCATGGAGCTTATTTACACAGTAGGCAAATATGCCATTACAGTATTCTCTGATATTACAGTAATCTCTGTTCTTTATGACAGTTTGCTGCCTTGAGTGATGGGGATATTAAAAGACTATGAATCCAGACTGTACCAGTGCATCATTAGCAGCCTTAAAAAGAACAGTTGACAGGAAACATCTGAATTTTCACATAATATGAGATCACCTGACTTAATAAATCAGTCCACATTTAACCTAGCATGCTGACATGAAACAGTATTTTGGGCACACTTTTCTTCCTTAGTTGTGTGTATATATATATATATATATATATATATAAAGTTAGCTATATGTGCACTTAAAAATCAGGAACCATGTAGGATAATTACCTTTAATATAATATAATATAATATAATATAATAAGAAGAAGTCACAGTTCTGAATAAAATGAAAATGCTATAAAATAAAATAAATAATAGTGCTTCAGTTGTTATATGCATATGCCATTTTCCTATTCAGTCTATATTTTGTCTGCAATTTTGCATTTTGTTGTTCATGGTCATTTTAATACATTTAATTGTTTGATTTTAAGGAAATTTTTATCTACTTTTTGTATAATTTTACTTTTAAGTTGAATGGGACTTTTTAAAGGATATTTAAATGTTTACTGACATAATATGTATAAATATGTATCTCTATGTTTAAATAACAATTTATAAGTAAATGTTTTGCAGAGATATAATTAAAGAACATCCCTGATCTTGATCAACTGACCTTAGTGCCGAGTTCACACTGCACGATTTTAGCCCGATTTTTCACTCGCCGACAGGTTTTGCGAAATCGCCGACAAATGCCCGAAATCGGAGGCAAATCGGTGCTCGTTCACGCGAGTGACAATTCAGACACATCCAGTTTTGTGTGAGTGAAATTCAGTGAAAATACTTGTAGTACAAACAGTTTGACTCTCTCTCTCTCTCTCTCTCTCTCTCTCTCTCTCTCTCTCATCCCCTACGCCTCTTCCTTCCTTTCCCACCCAAAGTATGAGTGTGGAGTAAGCAGAAGAGTTGAGTTTTCTGCGTGTCAACAGCACAGATTTCCACGCGTAGGGTGAATCAGTGCGCGTACATTCACAGTGATCGTAGAAATGCGCAATTACGCGCGGCGACGGCTGGCGAGCTGGAAAATCCCACTGGAATGACAAATCCTGTTTTTGGATAATTTGTTTGTTTTTTTGGATAAACTAACGGATTATCTGAAAGTGAACATAAAATGACAGTCATGCTGCATTTAGTCTGCCTCTTGTGGGTCGTCGACATATCTGGTAAGTAGCCTACTGTTGTTGTTACACCAAAAAGTTTTCACAAAATACGTATTGATTGATTGGGAGAGTACAATTGGTATGGGAAGCCCAGGGCTAATTGTCGCAAAGGCTATCTCATAATAGCCATCTGGATTTGAGTCAAAATGATTGAGTCATTTGTATGTTGGTTTCAAATATTCTATACAATATTTTGGTCTATATATATTAGAATGATATTTGACAATTCTGTGCTCACAATTCGCTTTTAAAACACAATTATTTATTTATTAATTTTTTTTTTTCAATCCTCACAATGTACAACACACACACGCTTAATAAAACTGTATATGTAGGTTCAACTACATAATGAAGGCAGATTTAACTGAAAGTTTGAACTGTTTTCTTGGGAAATCAGTAATTGTTGTTAGATTTTTGAAAATTTTATTTATTTATTTGTTTTTTTAAATCAGGGTAGGCTATCACAATTATTATTGTCTGGGTTGTTTATGACAGGTTCAGCTGTAGCAATTGTAGCAACTTACCTCATGACAACATATAGCAACAGCCCCAATAGCAGATTAATATGTGTTCAAAATTGGACAATAACAGTGAAAAAGTTTTGTTTTTTGTTTTTCTGTACCCAACACTTTATGGCATGTGCCTATATAGATATTGACTTCACTGGAGTAAAAAGTGTGACAACTAGCCCCGGGCTCCTCTACATGTTTTCATTATTTTGTACATGGGATCTAATGGTATTCATTGTGGAATGATGGCTTTGGATCCTCTTTGTTTCCTGATATTGTTCTTGTGTTGAGAAGGGCACATAGTGGCAGAAAGCCAGGGGAAATGTGTGAAATCAGGAATGTGGATGTTCCTCTATGGTGGCTCCATTGTTGTTGGTATTTTGTGATCTTAATGTAAATAAACAGGAAACTGTACTGAATAAGTTCTAGAGTAGGTTTACATTTTCACCCTTAAGTGATGAGAATATTAACTTTTTACTAATATTTCCTAACTTACTAATTTTTTTTCTCTCTCTCTATTAATTGTTTTCCAATAGTTTTCCAGTTTTAGTAAATTGCATTGCATTAATCTGTATGAAATGTGTCCTCTCTCAGATGCAGTTATGGATCTCACCATGACCTCTAACGGGGCCACATCTCCTCATAATTTCCGCCTCTCCTGCATTTCTGGAGAGCGTGACACAGATGGGATTCAGCTGAGCATCACAAAGGACAACAGCATTGTGCTTCGTGCAGATTCGCCACGTTTTGATGTGCAGAGCCCACAGACTAAAGAAGTGGTGGCTACTGGATTTATAGGCTTTGACCACAGTGGGATTTTCTACTGTCACTCAAAAAGGGGCTCTGACCAACCTGGCAGTGTTACTCTCATCAACAACTACAGCAAAGGTACATGATGGGGGGGGGGACATAACTTATAGTTCACCCAAAAAAAAAAAAGAAATTCTGTCATCATTTACTAAACCTCATGTTGTTACAAACCTGTGTGATTAAAAACCCCCACTAAATTAGATATTTTGAAGAATGTTTCGGTTGTTTCTGTTCTTACAATGAGAGTCAATGGGACCCAAAACAACACTGCACCCCACTGACTGTCATTGAAATTACACACATATATATATATATAAAATAAATCAACAACCCTTGAGAAAATTTTATAACTATCTTTTTTGTTTTCTTTAGAAGAAAGTAAGTCATACAAGTTTGGAATGACATGAGGGTGAGTAAATAACGACAGAATTTTCATTTTTGAGTGAACTCTTTAAACGTTAAAACATAGGTCTTCAACCCTGCTCCTTGGGACCCACTGTCCTGCAGAGTTCAGCTCCAACCCTAATCAAACACACCTGAACCAGATAATCAAGGTCTTCAGGATCAGTTGTAAAGTTGCAGGCCAGGGCCCTCATTTATAACCGTTGCGTACGCACAAAAAACAGCCCTGAAAGAGGCATACGCCACTTCCTGCGCAAAGGGTGGGATTTATAAAAACAAACTTAACGGGAAAGTTTGCGCACCTGCACGCAAACTCTGACCCATGCGTACGAACTCTTTTTCCTTGAGTGAGAAAATTAATGAGGTGAAAACAATGATTTTAAGCTATGTTTTCATGTCGATATATACATTTACATTAAATAGTCCACTCTCATATGGAGATAAGGACTGAAATTACATAAAGTCATTACACAGAACTTAAGCCAAAATTATATGAATTTAGACATATTTGTAGTAAATGCACTTGATCTCTTTTCCTTTTATTGACAGCGAGGAGTGCTATAAGTGCACAATAATTAATCTTTAAACTGAAATGCAGATCTCAAAATATTTTTAAGCGAGAACAATGATCAATGATGCGCACTTACTTCGATATTATGGCGGACACTTGGTCGAACGGTCCATTATCCAGTTTGGATAGGTCCAATGATAACCGCTTACTGTACAACCGCAGCTGCACAGAGGTGTTGATGTCCCCACTGTCCTGCAGAGTTCAGCTCCAACCCTAATCAAACACACCTGAACCAGATAATCAAGGTCTTCAGGATCAGTTGTAAAGTTGCAGGCCAGGGCCCTCATTTATAATTATAACCGTTGCGTACGCACAAAAAACAGCCCTGAAAGAGGCGTACGCCACTTCCTGCGCAAAGGGTGGGATTTATAAAAACAAACTTAACGGGAAAATTTGCGCACCTGCACGCAAACTCTGACCCATGCGTACGAACTCTTTTTCCTTGAGTGAGAAAATTAATGAGGTGAAAACAATGATTTTAAGCTATGTTTTCATGTCGATATATACATTTACATTAAATAGTCCACTCTCATATGGAGATAAGGACTGAAATTACATAAAGTCATTACACAGAACTTAAGCCAAAATTATATGAATTTAGACATATTTGTAGTAAATGCACTTGATCTCTTTTCCTTTTATTGACAGCGAGGAGTGCTATAAGTGCACAATAATTAATCTTTAAACTGAAATGCAGATCTCAAAATATTTTTAAGCGAGAACAATGATCAATGATGCGCACTTACTTCGATATTATGGCGGACACTTGGTCGAACGGTCCATTATCCAGTTTGATAAAACAAAAATGAAGCTCTATATACTGTGAGAGTCCAATGTATAAAGCACAGGAACTATGAGCAGACGTCTGAACTCTAACTGCTGCAATCATCTTCTCTCTAATACATCATTCTGAAGTCATATTTTAGAAAAACAGCGTCTCATTTTCATATCAGAGCGCTGTATGTTGAAAGCTCTGGGCCCTGTGACAGTTTGGCAGTTGTGATTTTGTCATTTTTTCTAAATCGTGTCCTTCTGGCTCTGTTCTTTTCCTTGTTTTCAGCGAGGGAAACAGAATTGGAGACGGTTTCAGCCGCTGATCAATACAAAGGCCCCAGCCGCCCGTCCGGCGGCCGCTGATTGTGGAGAGGATCCTGTCGCAGTATGGAGGCTTTCGGTTCAGTCACGCTCAAATCAAAGCGTGAGGAGAGCCAGTAATGGACGACTAGCTGACTTCAAACAGACCAGGGGCCTCATTTATAACCGTTGCGTGCGCACAAAAACAGCCCTGAAAGAGGTGTACGCTACTTCCTGCGCAAAATTTGGGATTTATAAAAACAAACTTGACGGGAAAATTTGCGCACCTGCACGCAAACTCTGACCCATGCGTACGAACTCTTTTTCCTTGAGTGAGAAAATTAATGAGGTGAAAACAATGATTTTAAGCTATGTTTTCATGTCGATATATACATTTACATTAAATAGTCCACTCTCATATGGAGATAAGGACTGAAATTACATAAAGTCATTACACAGAACTTAAGCCAAAATTATATGAATTTAGACATATTTGTAGTAAATGCACTTGATCTCTTTTCCTTTTATTGACAGCGAGGAGTGCTATAAGTGCACAATAATTAATCTTTAAACTGAAATGCAGATCTCAAAATATTTTTAAGCGAGAACAATGATCAATGATGCGCACTTACTTCGATATTATGGCGGACACTTGGTCGAACGGTCCATTATCCAGTTCGGATAGGTCCAATGATAACCGCTTACTGTACAACCGCAGCTGCACAGAGGTGTTGATGTCGTGTGAAGTCATCTCTACATTTGAAGGCTTACAACGGTAAGATTTATACGTTTCCTTTTTAAAATACTTTGTTAGTGACGCGCCGAGTCAGACAATTTTACACTGCAATAAATAGGCCTATCTTTTTCCACTCAAAATAGATAAAAGATATTCACATTATCAGCAAACGGTGTTAAACATGGTGTCACGTGGATGGGAATATGCATGGAAATGATATGCAGATGAGGTTATGCATAGTAAAACAAGGCGTTGTAAGCTCCATATATGGTGATTTCGGGGAGGAGTCGGGGTGGAGATCTTCCCCTGATCGGGATTTATAAAGGGATTTTGCGCAGGTTCTGGCGTACTTTTGTGCGTACGCCAAATCTAGCTTTTGTGCGTACGTACACTTTTAGGATGAAATCTACGGAACATTTTATACATGAGGCCCCAGGTGTGCTGAAGCAGGTTGGAAATAAATTCTGCAGGACAGTGGGTCCTCAGGAGCAGGGTTGAAGACCTATGCGTTAAACAGTTTGATAAAACACTTAACAGACAGTTTTTGTTAAAGTATTCAATATCTGAAATATCTAATCTAAAATATATTATTTAATAACCGGAAATATATTTGTCAAACTAATCAGACTGAAGAATAGATTTTATAAATGTGTTATACCAGAATACTATTATTATTATGTGTTTTAAGGTAACTTTAAACCAGTGAGGGTCACGCTGACGGCCAGTAAAGGAGACGAAGTGAAACTAATCATGGACGTTGTTGGGACAGAAAGACGAGACATTACTTGGAAATTCAATGGTTAGTATAACTTTAATCTTATTCTTTACGATGTAGCAAGATTCATGTCTAAAGAGCATGTATGCAACATTTTATACATATTGGTACAGCGATTCATGAGAATATGTTTTAAATGATATACATACAAAAAAAGAGAAAAATGAAAAGACAAAAATCCAAAATGGGACCTCGTGCAGAAAAACAAAGAGGTTCCAGTGAGATGTTTCCAACAAGATGATCAGTAAATGGATAAGCAAAAGATCAGTAAATGAATGAACCATTTACAATTTGCTTTAGGTAACTACTACTACATGACTCCTATTGCTGATGTTCAAAACTGCACAGCAGTTCTGGATCTGATGAAAGTTGATGAAAACAATGCAGGGATTTACAGTGTCAGCTACGTTGGGGACAGTGCTCTTTATAGTGCCTGGATCCGCCTCATCGTTCGTGGTAACATAATCAGTATCACATAACTCATTTAAATATATTCAGAACTTTGGATTTTCTATTCTAGTGCTTGATTTTTCTTACCTGTGTATTTTCTAGAATGTCCAAAGAATAAATGGGGCTCCGACTGTGACAAAGACTGTCCCGAATGCTTGAATGGAGGCGTGTGCCATGACAAAGATGGAGATTGTGTTTGCCCACCGGGGTTTATGGGAATGCGCTGTGAGACAGGTATATGAAAACCATTTATATGAAACTGATCATTTGCATCTGTAGAGACTATTCATTTAAGGACTTAAACATAAAAATCTTTTTTTTTCTGATTTTGGTCTTGCAGCCTGTCGAGAAGGAATGTTTGGTAGGAACTGCCAGGAATCCTGTAAGTCGGAGAATGGATGCCAGGGCTTGAGTTTCTGTCTCACGGATCCTTACGGCTGTTCTTGTGCCAGCGGCTGGCATGGAGATCGCTGTAATAAACGTGAGTTTAACATAAGATCCCTTTATATAAGAACTGTTCCCTCCGTGCAGAGTATCATCTGGACCCAGCAGAAAGGATTCAGTTCGGAATTAAAGTTTAAACAGGTGCTGCTGGAATGTGCCAGTAAAAATTCAGCTTCCATCAATCTGACCAAGATAAGCATTTCTTGCTGCTCTGTCCATTTGTTTTAGTCTTTGTGGAAGCCGGTTTCTACCTCGGGTTAAATAAAACACGTAATTGTGAGATAAAGTTTAAAATAACAAAAAAAAAAGAAGTCACACTGTAACATTGTGAAATACAAAATTGCAAATACAGGAAATAGCCACAATTATGAGAAATAAAGCTGAAACAGAGTGATATAAAGTCAAATTGTGTTATATAGTCATATTGTGAAATACAAAGCTGCAATTATAAGAACAGAAAGTTGCAACTGTGAAAAATAAAGTCAGCTCTGAAAAATAAAGCTGCAATTGTGAAATTAATGGCACAACTAAGAGAAATAAAGTTGCAATGCATTATAAAGTAAGATATGTGAGACAGTAAGAATTACAAGAAATAGTAGTAATTGTAAGATAAAAAGGTCTCAATTTTGAGATATAATGTTGCAGTTGTGAGGTATAAAGACACACTTGTGAAAAAAACAGGCTTCCAAACTTTTGGAATAGTTACACAAACATTTCCAAATTTCTTGAGGTCAGAGCTCAGACACTAAAACATAATGACTTACTGAATCCTTATAAAATGTTTGTTGTCATGTTTAATTGTTGAAATATACAATAAAAACACAGAAATTCCAATGTTATTTTTATAGCCTGTCTTGAAGGAATGTACGGCGCTGACTGTCTTTTAAGTTGCAACTGCAAGAACAAAGGCAAATGCAATCGATTCAGTGGCTGCCAATGTCCTACAGGCTGGAGAGGGCAATACTGTGAGAAATCAGGTCACCCTTCAAAACTACTTTTCCATCTCCTCTAAAATCTATAACGTTTGTTCCTCTTGGCGCCGTTTGTCTAACCTTATCCCTCTTTCAGATCGTGCACCAGAGATTTTGGACATGGCCAGTAACCTGGAGGGAAACTTGAACTCCAGCCACAAGATCACATGTTCTGCAACAGGCCTTCCACTGCCTAGCCATATGAGTATTGAGCTACGCAAGCTGGAAAGCACCGTTCTTAAGGTGAAAGAGTCATAAGAATCTTAATAAGAAGTTGCATATGAAGTTGAAAAAAGGAATGCTTATAAAATGAAAAGTTAGAAAGTACTGTTGTGCCTATCTTTCTAATGTGACTACTATCTTTATGATTGTCTGCTGTTGATTTCTCAGGCATCCCACACTACCATGGACTCCAAAAAAAGCACAGCTCACTTTGAGATCCCATAAATTTTCAATAAATGTGTTGAGATGAGATTGAGTGACATCTCAACAGAATAAATAAAGGTGGGGGCATATTTCCTCATGATATGAGAAGAAGAGTGGGGTTCTTTGAGCTGAAGATGGAGATTTGGATGGTGTTGACATGGATGTGATTGTCAAATACTGGAGAAACAGACTGGGAACAAGTCTATAGATAACCAATATTTTGACTGTTGACTCTCAGTCAATATTTGACCCTGAAAGACTGACTCTGAGAGCAGTATAGTTTTTACGTAACTCAGCTGCAGCGGACAGCATCTGATTGCGTATTCTGTGTCGCTAGAGCCCACGGCCAGGCCGGAGATTGATTCCTGCTCATTGGAGGGCCGTAATGCCACCATCAGGTGGTCCCTGATTGGTACGTCCCGAGAAGCCACTGGCTTTTTAGTACAGCTCAACGGACCACATGGAGAGAAGCTGCAGGAGGAAACCACCTTCCTTAATGTACTCTCCATCAAGCTCTACAATCTGGAGTATCACAGGGACTACCAAGTGGTCGTCAGGCTGATAAACTGTGGCAGCCATGGGCCCCCTTCAAAGCCCCACCATGTTCACATCTATAAGCAGGGTAAACAGAAATCTTGCATGTCCCCAAGAAAGCGCAAGTAGGTGACTGACTATAAAATAGGACAGGAATGTTAGACAGGAAGTGGTGGAAACTAATAACTCACAAGTGTGTCAGAGTGTGAAATGAAACTGAAGTGGCAAAATTACATATGATCTCTCTCCAGGTCCTTCTTCTCCCAGGAACGTCCAGGCAGATGCTCTGTCCATCAATGCAGTCAGGCTTCACTGGCAGCCACCTGAGGACCCCAATGGAGGCATTGTGAAATACAGTATTGAATACCAGCCAGTGGGCCAGAGCAGCTTTCACCCTTGGGTGGACACAGACGATGGCAACAAAACCATGAAGGATGTGACATACCTCAATGGGAGCACATTATACCAGTTCAGGGTGAGGGCTTTCTCCAAGGTGCCAGGGAAGTGGAGTAAGTTTGTACAAGCCAGGACACGTGGAGACGGTAAGTGACCAGAGAGAATAAATGTGTAAAAGACAAAAAATAAAGCCAAAATATGAAGTTAAAAGCTATTCTAAAATGCGCTTTAAAAAAGGCACTTACTGTTTTTCATATCAACCAGGATTCTCAAGCTATATTCCCACCACTCAGCAAGTTGGACGGCCAAAGGCTGAGGATCATCAGCTTCTTTGGGCTGTGGTTGGGTCAGTGGCTGTGACCTGTGTGACCATCCTTCTGGCCCTTTTAATTCTCTTCTACATTCGTAAATCTGTCCTTAAACGAAAACGGACATTTACCTATCAGTCTGGATCGGTGAGCAGACACTTTACTTTATTACTTTATTTCTACTAGGGCTGCAACGATAAATCGATGCAGAATCAATTCATGGATAGATTCTGAGATCTTCCGAATGCATCGCGATTCTCTCTGCAATCGATTCTGAGCTTAGATTTTAACAGCAGATGGTGCTCTAATCTAGTTTTTATCCACACACTCAAATGCTTATGAAGAAGAGCGCTTGTGTGTTCAGCTGAGTCATGTAATTTCACCTTGGCTCAGAATGCTTTTATGACGCAAGATAGTGCTGGGCGGTATACCGGTTCATACCGAATAACGGTGTTTATTTTGGTTATGATATGAATTTTTAAAATACCGCAATACCGGTGTATGTCGCTGAGGGAACAGCTGTATGTGTTACTAAGCGTGAAAGTTCCGAAACTGAAGCTGTAGAACTAATAGAACGTGATGATGACAGAAGAACTCATCCACAATATCCACATTGACCACCACAAATATCCACCGCCCCCTGCCATCAGCTCCCGCGTCTCACACACGAGCGCGACTTTAGCACTAGATTTAGCAACTTTCACACCCTTTTAGCGGCTTTTTTCCATAGAATATTCATACTGACAAACCTAGCGACTTTTTTGGATAAACCTTAGCTATGGTTCAGTTGGAAGATTTCGCCTGTGCTGTCCCGCGAACGCGAGGTCTGACTTTCCCGGAGAAGTGTCACCTCTCTCGGCGTCTGTTCTGTGCGGTGAGCGGCAGAGAAGTAGCGCATTCAGTTGGCCGCACCGCAGCCGACTCATCAATAAATGAGTACAAAACAGCGTTTCCTAGCACCTGTCGCTTACTGATTGTTTGGAATTATAAATATGAGCGTAGTTCGTCTGTTAATATCACATGCACGTTTTT